AGCAAAAATCAGTTGTGCGCATACGCAGACTGCGCAATGGCAACTTCCTTATTTTTTTTTAAATTTTACCCACAGATGCTCCTAGTAAAGCTAAACATATCGCATATTGTAAACACCGGGTGTGCACAGGCGCAGGCTGCGCAAGGCTAACCTTCTTATTTGAATTTTTTTAAATTTTAACCACGGATGCTTTTTATCTTAGACTATACGCTGTACACGGACTTTTTAACTAAAATATGGTCAAGGAAATCACCTGGGTATGTGAGTTTCAGGGTACACTTGTCTGTTTGAAGTTGTCAGATGAGACACGATTTGGGACTGTCAACCTCTAAAGTAACAAACGTCAATATCGCCTGGATATGCCAAAAAAGCAAACATATTATTTTTCTTTGGAGAGACCCGTGCGAGTATCTACTGTCTGGAACACATCGTCTGTAAAACTATAGCTATGAACATGGTTTTTCGTCGGAATAAACGATTTTTGCTATTTTTTTTATCATCAGATATGATAGGTATCTACTTAACTTTGGTGATTAATAAAATCGTACGACTACCGCAGGGTTAATTCTAATAGAACCTCTCATCAAACGGGAAAATACTGTATTCAAAAAAGTAGTACCTAAGTTCCGAAGAACGTTTGGCGGCAACTCTGAGATTTCCTCCCGATCACTTTATTATCTTCAAAGACATTTTTAATTTACCTACTCTTATTTGCACAAGTTTAACTGCTGTACGCTGCAGCAACTTTATACTGTTTTTCGTCTATTTTGCTGTAATTTACAACATGAGGTATTGCATTATTTCAATAAAAATGAGTTTCCACTGGAAATGTTCATGATTTATGTCTTTTCCATATGTTATTACATTCAAATCTAATGGAAAAATGGCGGCCGTCGCGGTCATGGCCACACTGTCACTATAAAGTCACCGTATCGGGCCTTTATTCTTGAGTTTATAGGAATAGCATTAGTGAGGTGAGAGAAAGGGAGTGGATTTCTCTCGTAAAACCAGAATAGCTTAAAATAACCTATTCTTGATTGGTTTTACGAGAGAACTCCGCCCTCTTTCTCTCACTAAGTCTGTTCCTATGAACTCAAGAATAAGGGCCCTGGCTAACCGATCTGCTAAAGAAGGCAAGCTTTACGGCAGGTTACTCCTACATTGGAAGCGGAATCGATCTGACCACCAGACCCGACCCGGTCAGACTAGTCCAGACTCGGCGCTCCTACATTGCAGCTATAGTTTTCATAAAAGCTTCCATGCAACTGGAAGAAAAACAAACTTGTTTGATTGTTGTTCAGACCCGACTCTCCTCCTCGGAACGTGCATTGGCTTCAGTGTAGGAGGCTCGACGGTGCGTCACGTGTTTGTTTTCTTCAGACCCGACCAGACGGGCCGTCTGTCTGGTCGGGAGAAATTCCGCTTCCAATCTAGGACCGGCCTAAGCAGTAGACTTATTGGAGATCAAGTGAAAGGTGGAAGTATATGCTTTTATTTTTCATTTGCCTATTATATGTCAATTATATCTGTCATATGTGATATATGAAGCAGTCTATTACGCCCAAGGGCATAATGAGAGGGCATAATGGATTGTCATCTCCTTATGCCCTCAAACGGCCTGTCAAATTGATTGACGGAGTTATATTATGTCATAAAAAAGATGCAACTTGATTCGTATGAAGCATTTTAATGTTGGGCAAACAATAATCATGACATTTGTATATTGAAAATGCATTTTTTGGAACGATGAAAAATAAAATGTTGTATGCTCCTCAGGCATTACACAATATTTAACTCTCGGGCGACTAACAGGCCCCCCTCGGGCCGGAGGCCCTCGGGCTCTGTTGCCCTCGGCATAAATATCGCCTTAATGCCATTGATGCATAAATAACTATTTTTTCTTTTTCTGAGTAAACTGTGTAAAATTTCTTGTTGAATAAAAGGTTTCCATTATGTTTCCTTATACATATTTGTTAAGTTTAATATGGTTGAGTCGCAGTGGCAGATTGAAACAATTGAACCTTGATAGACAGCTATAGAATAGAACAATTAGTCGACACCATATGCCCAATACTATTACTTACTAATGGCTAGTCAAGAGTAAAGAACAATTTGGATTTAGGTTCTACATACTTTCTACTTTCGAAGTTAACCTTGTCCCGAGGGTTGCTTTTATCCTGGGAGTATACTTTCATTCACAGGTGTTGAAAGTGTTGTCATACTCACCTTGATTTTGTAACGCGAACCCGCTGACGTAGGCATTTTATTTAATTGGAATTTACTTAATTTTTTTTCGAAATTTTTTGCGGTTGCATAGTTTTTTAAAATTAATTCATGTACGATCTGAGGTTCTTGTCAAGTTTCTTAAAAAAATTTGAATTAAGGTCACGAAAATTTTTCATATCTAACACTTCATGCGCAAATGGTGATGTCGAGTAGGTTTAATGGCGACATCCAGACGGGTCTTGATAGTATTCGCTATTGATACTAAATCTTTTTGATATAAGAATTCACACCATTCGTCTCATTGCGCTGGTTCCGTTTCGTATTTTCTAGCCGGCACAGCTTCCATAAATAGGGATAGTTGATTTCGTTTGGTTAGAGAACGCGGCGGAGGGACACAACAGCCTAATCGTGCAAGAATCCATAACGAACTTATTTTCCATTTTTCAAAAAAATTGTCCGATAGGTATTCTCGCACGACTAGGGCGTTCTGCACGGGTGCACCATCCTGTTCAAACCAACAGTTTTCAACTGTAGTTTTTTTGTGCTGTGTATATCGTTGTATTCGTCATAAAAAATGCCATACAGTGTGTACCTACTTTTTTACGGGCCATATAAAAGAATAAAGTTGATAATGATTTCTCCGAAACGAAACGTTGTATTAAAAATCTCCCAGCGGTGTAGGGCTCAAAAAGTAACAATGGGTAATAGACAAATTTCGGTCTTTCTGACATTTGTTTTGCCTCTTTAATTAATTTTAGTCATTATTCCTGTTATTACACATGCCGCAACGGTACACAGAAGGTGCACAAGGTCTTATTTTGAAGATGACCAGGTACATACTAACACTTTATTGTTTGTAATGGGGTCCGAGCTGAACATTGTCGGGAGTCGGGACACATCTTGGAAATATGTAGATCGGTTCATGCTACGTTTGTGCCGGTGTGTGTTTTCCAGGATCATGTATACATTACAAACGGTATCCTTTGGAAATTAGATGTTCGACCAACTTTGCACACTTTTGTCGTCACAAATCTCGTGACTCGTTCGTAGGTGCAGAGTTGGTTCTCTTTTGCACCAACAGGAATAAAAATCCAGAGAGTTCTGCACCGCAAAAGAATGGTAGTAAGTAGGTATGATTCAAAGCAAACAGCAGCAAACCACGCCATGTACATACTGAGGTTTTTATTGTCAGCTACATTACCTAGAGGAAGTTTGTACTTTAAAGTTATTTATTTTCATTTAACATTCACTAATTGAATTTAATACACAATAATTTGCACGTAGTCTTTATAAGTCCCGAAACTTGAATGTGGTTTAATTGATTAATTAAAATCTTTGCGAAATTGTTTCCCAGCAACGTTAATTATTATTAATTAAAATTAAGCCGCGCGAAATTATGCGTCCGGATAACGTCAATTATTTGTAATTGGAATCAAGTTTGTCCAAATATGTGAGTAGCTAACGTAAATTATATTCAATATAGCTGAAAGGATTAATTATTTCCTTTTGCTTGCCTCTTTTGTATTTTACTTTATTTTTGAAACATGTCATGAAGTTAAGGTTGTATATAATATTTCATGAACATAAAGAGTATTTCAGAGAAATTTGTGCTGGTTTAAGGTAGTTGTAAACGGTTTAGTGCAGCTGTATTTGAGGCTAGATTTGAGGTTTAAAATTTAGTTCTAAACCGAAGGTCATTTCAGCTCCTTACACCAATTCGCGTTTCCGTAGCTAATTGGTCCTGTGTACTGCCACTTACTTACCCGTCAGTCGACGCATCCGATGATATCGGGTAATAAATATAAAATGGCATACACAGCTAATAAAAGCTGGTCCAAAAGACGGAGTGTCGTGAGCGGTTTGGGCCGTTGGGTTAGGGTGCAGAGGTAATGCAAGTAGAGCATGCTTAGTGGGAACCCAACTAATTAAGCATTGGCATTGAATAATTGAATAATTTTTTTTCAATGGCTTAGACTAAGGCCATCGACATAACCACGCGTGCAAATGCTAATCGCGGATACTGCAGATGAGACACAGAGAGGAAAACTAGGAGGCAAGCTTACTGTCCTAGTCATTGGCAGTACCTATCATTAGTCTGTAAAAAAATCGGCTTCATTCATCCAACCGTAAACAATTTTATCCATAGAAAGTTCGTGAAAAACCGACCAAGAATTGATTTTTACGGAGTTATCAAAGGTTCACAATTTTTTTAAATATGTCTTTAAGAACTATCAACGTTTTTATTTGGTGTATAACTTATATTTAAAAAAAACATTTAGAATTGGCACCGCAAGATGTACCGCAGAGCCTTAGGTAAGTAACATGACCTGAGGCGGTAGACGGTCGATTTTAGCATACTGGGATACGCCAAAGTGGAACGGCGTAGGTAAGTAGTTTTTTGAAGATTACGACATTTTTTAAACTTCGATAAGTTCACCAACTCGTATTTTGGGCAATTCTTCTGAGGCTTGACAAGCCAAGATATCACCTTTCGCAAATATTTGCCTAGAGTAGGATTGGACGAATATTTACATTTAGTGAAAACCTTCCGTACAGTTTATTAATCATGCATAGCTGATGGGGCAACGTAATGACGTTACTGTTACCATTCAGCTTTTCCATTTTCGTCAGCTGTTGTTTTTTGTTCGCCTTTATGCAATTTGCGATAAATGTATAATGCTCCGCTCTTACAAAATCCATTACACGTAGCAGTCACACTTGGACCTTAACATTTTACAAATCACGCTTTATCAAATTGCTCTCTGACCTTAACTTTCAATAATTGCTGTGACGATAAGCAAACAATTTAATAACAATTTAATGTGTAACGTTTGATACACTTCGTTCCATCGCCACACACGATGCTTAGGGTAGCGCTAAGAAGAAAGTTTATTTCAAGTTTGCAGTGCGCTCGGGCGTACACATCAACCGTAAAAACTGAAGAGGCCCTTTTTCCACACAAAGATGAATTCCCAAGCAGACATATCGGACCACGTGACAGGGACATTATTACAATGCTGGACGCTTTGGGATTCAAGGTATTGTAGGAATACCAATTGACGTAAGTGTACCAATTTGCGTTTACAGAGCCTCGACGAGCTTACCGATAAGGCGGTTCCGAAAAGTATAAGACTGCAAAAGCCTCTCGATATTGAAGAACCGGTTGGTGAGTACGAGTTGATCAATAGAATTAGAGGAATCGCCGAGAAGAACCAAATATGGCGCTCTTACGTCGGAATGGGCTATCACAATTGCTGCGTACCGCATACCATCATGCGAAATATCTTCGAAAACCCAGGTTGGACGACGCAGTATACGCCGTATCAACCCGAAGTCGCTCAAGGCCGATTGGAAGGACTTCTAAATTATCAAACTATGGTCGCGGAGTTGACTGGGTTGGAGGTAGCAAATGCGTCACTTTTGGACGAAGGAACTGCAGCAGCTGAAGCCCTCTCACTTTGTTTTAGGCACAACAAGAGGCGAAAACTCTTGGTTTCGAATAAAGTGCACCCGCAAACAATATCGGTCGTTGAAACGCGACTGTCTTCTCTTGATTTGACGGTGGAGGTTGTGGATGTGTTTGATGCGGACTTTTCAAACAGAGACATCGCTGGTGTACTATTTCAGTATCCTGACACCGAGGGAAATGTGCTAGATTTCAGTGCGATATCAGAAGCGGCACATTCTCATGGAACTTTAGTTTGTTGCGCAACTGACCTGTTAAGCTTAACGCTGTTGAGACCTCCATCGGAATTTGGGGCGGATATCGCCGTCGGTACTTCACAAAGACTCGGCGTTCCTTTGGGTTACGGCGGTCCCCACGCTGGATTCTTTGCTTGTAACCAATCTCTTGTAAGATTAATGCCCGGAAGAATGATAGGTGTTACAAGAGACGCGGCTGGACGCGACGGGTACAGACTTGCACTTCAAACGCGTGAGCAACACATTCGAAGAGATAAGGCTACCAGTAATATTTGTACCGCTCAAGCGCTACTGGCCAACATGTCTGCAATGTTTGCCGTGTACCACGGTCCGCAAGGTCTGAAAGATATCGCAACAAAGATTCACAACATGACATTGGTAAGCTCGCTTTGTGATAAGAGTTCCGTAATGACGCGTGGAATTTCAGGTTATCGCCCATGGATTGACTCAAGATGGTAACACACTAACTCATAACTTGTTTTTCGACACCATTAGAATTATGCCAAAGGATGGAGTGGACGAAGTTAGACAACGCGCGAACGAAAAGAAGATAAACTTCCGATACTACGAGGATGGTGGTGTCGGTGTGGCATTGGACGAAACTGTTACTCTAAGTGACCTCAATGACATCTTCTATGTTTTTGGAAGTAAGGCAACCGCAGAGTCGATTATAGAAAAATCAGACGTTCGCAACTTATCAATTCCGCGCAGTGAATTTAAGAGAACTTCACCTTATCTCACTCATCCTGTGTTTAACTCCCACCACTCGGAGACTCGCCTCGTTCGCTACATGAAAACTTTAGAAAACAAAGATATTTCTTTGGTGCATTCAATGATTCCTCTGGGATCATGCACGATGAAGCTAAATTCCACAACAGAGATGATGCCTTGTTCGTTTAAGCACTTTACGGATATTCATCCGTTTGCGCCGTTAGATCAATCGTTAGGATATCAGCAGCTTTTCGCGGAACTCGAACGAGATTTGTGTACGATCACTGGGTACGATCGGATCAGTTTCCAACCGAACAGCGGCGCTCAAGGCGAATACGCTGGTTTGCGTGCCATTCAGTGTTACCATGAGGCTCGAGGCGACAAGCATCGGGATGTTTGTCTAATTCCAGTCAGCGCTCACGGGACAAATCCAGCCAGTGCCCAAATGGCGGGAATGCGCGTGGAACCGGTGAAAGTTAAGCAAGACGGTTCAATTGACATGGAAGATCTCATATCGAAAGCTGAAAAATACCGCAACCGATTGTCGTGCCTTATGATCACGTACCCGTCGACAAACGGCGTATTTGAGGAGACAGTTGCGAATGTCTGCGACATAATTCACAAGAATGGCGGACAGGTTTATTTGGATGGGGCGAATATGAATGCGCAGGTGGGTTTGTGCAGACCCGGAGACTACGGTAGCGATGTTTCCCATTTGAATTTGCATAAAACGTTTTGCATTCCACACGGTGGCGGAGGACCGGGCATGGGACCGATCGGAGTTAAGCAGCACCTGGCTCCTTTCTTACCAGGTCATCCAGTTGTGTCGATGGGAGGTACCAGGTCAGGTTTGGGAGCTGTTAGTGCCGCGCCGTTTGGTTCTTCCGCAATTTTGCCTATATCCTGGGCGTATATAAAAATGATGGGTGCACGTGGACTCAGAAAAGCGACACAAGTGGCCATTTTGAACGCAAATTATATGTCAAAACTGTTGGAACCTCATTACCAAACTCTCTTCAAGAGTGAAACGTCAGGCTTGGTGGCTCACGAGTTCATAATCGACGTTCGCGAATTCAAGAAGACTGCCAATATTGAAGCTGCCGATTTAGCGAAACGTTTAATGGATTACGGTTTCCACGCGCCTACGATGTCGTGGCCGGTAGCTGGAACTCTCATGATTGAACCTACAGAGTCGGAGGACAAGCAGGAGTTAGATCGATTCTGTGAGGCTTTAATATGTATTAGACAAGAAATTCGGGACATTGAAGAAGGTAAATTGGATATAAGGGTAAATCCATTGAAGATGGCGCCTCATACACAAGGACAGGTAATTAGCAGTTCCTGGGAGCGTCCCTACACTAGAGAACAAGCCGCGTTCCCCGCAGCATTTGTTGTTCCTGAAACCAAAATTTGGCCAACAGTCGCAAGAATTGACGACATTTACGGAGACAAGCACTTAGTCTGCACCTGTCCGCCGATATTGCCAGAGTACAACTACTAAAAATCAAGAAAACAGTATTTATTGAATTAACGTACTTTGTTAACAAGTTATTAAAGAAATATATATTATTTGCATTTCTTTCTTCTAGAATTTTAGAACGGATGTGGCACAGCACAAAATGATCAACAAGTGCAGAAAATCTGGCGAGGCTTTACTAATTCGTATTTAACTGTAACAGCTTGGCAAACAAGTCGCCAAGAAAAATGATTATAGGAACTTCACCAACAATTTTCTGCAGCAGTAAACACCAAAACTGGAATCGGTTCATTTTACAGTGGCCTTTGCAATTACAACGATTCTTAACATAATTGCCTTAAAAAATTACGTATTCTCTTCCAATAATAAAGATAACAAATGCAGTCTTCATCATGGTTATATTAGAAAAGCGCAACATTATTACAATCCTCATGACTTCTTGTACAAACCTAAACGAAAGGGAACGTCTTTACTCTGCCTTGAGCTAATATTAATTGGAAATGGATTATAAATTCTGCCCGAATTCGGTGAGCGCGCGAGATTTGAACCGTCGACCGGAGACTTCCGCAGACTTCCATCGGGTGATCTTTTATTAATCGAGCTATTCGAACCTGCGATGTTTATGGGACTGGTCGAATACTTACTCGCACCACAACTGGAACTTAAGCTTGCAGTAACCTCCAGAAATGTTGGTCGACTGGACTTCACGATCAAATTTTCATATTTCTCCTCTAAATTTCTCGTATATTCCGAATCTAGTATGCTACTAAACTTTGGCCGTACTTCAATTTCGTCCGGGCTATAGATATTTGCGATTTCATTTTCCAATACCGTTTCATTTCTTACTTCAGGTCTATACGAGAAATCTTTGTATTTATATCTTAATTCCTCTTCGTATTGTGTAGATGCAGATGGAATCGAATTCCTTAATGCAGATTCGAATTGGATTTCACGATCAATTGGGTCACCATGACTTGCCGTGGGTGAATACATTATCCTATCCGTTTCGTAACTAGACTGCATTATTGATTTCTCGGCATTATCGTTGCCGTATATATCGGGACAACGAAACTGGGGTTTTACGTCTTCCAAAGTTTCCGTATCGGCACTGTACGATATGTCACTGTCCAAGTGAATCGACGCAACCGTGCTGTTCTCAGACGTATCCTCATTCGATGCGGGCGGTGAAGGTGTCAAACGGCTTTGACATTGCAAAATGCGGTGCAATATTAAAGAATTCTCTTGAATTATTTCTAACGCCCTCTGGCTCTTTTTTCCAGTTTTAAATTCCGACGGATCTTCGGAACTACTTGCGACGCTCTCCTCGTCCACACTTGGATGTTTAAGGCAACGAACGCGATTTTCTAAAAACTTTTCAAACTCAAAGCTGTCGTCGTCAGAGTCTGAAGGTAAGCCGTACCTACCAAAGTCAAATAACACTCCCTCATTTGTACTTTCTTGTGTATCAAAAATATCACTAATTATTACATTTGTATTGTTATTGTCCACTTCACTAACGTTAACAATTTCCTCCGTATCAAAATCCGACGTGGGTTTAATACTATGTTCACAGTCACTTGACAATACGCTTTCATCCTTTGTATTGTCAAATTTCATAAGATCTAGGTTATCACTAAAAGACTCTATACGATTGTCGTCTACACATTGGCTATCTAACGGCGATTTTGAAAGTGGTGTGGTGGAATTTTCGTCGTGATTCTCGGGGTCGTCGCACAACTCCGTATCTGAAGACGATGAACTTGATGATTGGCGTGGGGCGTCCTTCCAAAGTAGAGTGGATGGCTGAGCCTGACGAGACGGAGGTATGGCACCTTTCGGCGGGCCCAAACGTTTAGATGTTATCAATGCGCTCTTGCCTAGGAGCAAGTGGTTCATTGCAACCACTGGTGACGAAGAAGAAGGTTGTCGAGCTACAGCTGCACTAAATATAATATGGGCCTGTCTTTGGCGTTGTTTTAACTTCGAATACTGTTTCTTCAACGCGCCGATGTCGAGAGCGAGCCTTTCGCGACCGTACAATTTCAGTTGACGATTTCGCATCTCCGCCTCCACGTTTGATGACACATTAGCGCTCCATGGGTTAATGTTATAAAAGTATTTCTCTCGCAAGGCCGGAAGTTCCGTTAGTGGACCTATTTGTACGATAGCTTTGACCAGCGAGTTGGCGTCGATTATACCGAATTCTAACAATTCCCGCGTTAGCACCCCCATAATGCAGTAGAATTCGTCAGCGCTCCGAACGGATAGTATTCTTTCTGCCAAAACCTGCCAAATTCCCAAAGCTGTACGTAACAAGATCTCGTTCCCTTCCAACAAAATCAAATCCCACACTCTCAGTACTGTTGGTTGAGGAAGACAATTGCAGAATAATGTTAAAAACCTAAAAGCACCATGATAAGGCTCACATCTTTTAAATTCACACGATTTTACCATTGCATTGTGAAAACGTTAGTGAGAGGAGGTTCGTAACTAGTCGTTCCGTCCTTTGCCGCAGTTTGTAACGCGTCCAGATGCCTAGAGAGCCTAGGCAGGCGTGTCTTTAGTAACTCTCGAAAAACGGCCATGTCAACTGAAAGACCTCGTAAACTATCGGCAAAGTAGGACTCGGGAAGAACCCCTTCTATCAAAAATATCATCAACTTTAAGGCATCCGTTTCACATTTTTCGGTTACCTGCAGTATCAAAGCGGCCAACATATTAAACCCCTGACAATACCCTGGAAACAAAACGCGGAATAGGTAACTCAGCTCGGTCTCACGAATCGAACACTTACCCACCGCTTTATTCCACCGCGCGTACGCAAGCAGCACCCTTTTTAAAAGGGCCTGATTCTCCTGCCCGTCTTCGCCGCAGAACAAACTACAGCCGGTCCTATGCAAATCTTTCACGATCTGTACACCCAATTCGGCATCCGCAGGATGCGACCACTCACTAAAGCACTCCCTTTCCACTTTTATCCAATTCACGTTTTTCGACTGCAAGTGCCTGTCGGCAAGATTCATCCATAACTTCCGCCTAAATTCGGGAGGAATGCCCTCGGACAAGTGCGCCACCATTCTCATCGCCGAGTGCCACTGGACAAATCCAGAATCTCCGGGTCCCGGCTCGATTGAAAATCTCATATTCGTTTCAGGTCCATCTGGAACAAGAAGTAAATATTGGTTTAATGCCCGACCGTCTACAGTTCTAGAGGTAAAGTAAAGTAAACAGTTTATAAAAGTTAACAAGCTGAATTATTATCTCACGAAATTCAGTTGTGATTGTTTTAGTTCATTAAGGGCCATAAAATGTGTTATTATTCTACTCGCCGCAAACGTGAAGGAATACAACTGTCCGTTTGATGCCTTGCATTAATTTATTTTTGTTTCTATGAAAGCATTCTATTCCTATTCCTTATATTTACTTAAATTCCTCTCTTGCAAATAAGAAGGAATTTATTTTCCAAAATTCAGTCTTGTTTGTGTTCCCCGTCATTCAATTTAACTTCGTCTCTAAGTAAGAAACATTTCAAGGTAATTATAAAGGGTTTTTCATAAAGAACTTTGTTTGAATAGGTTGGTATTTGGTTAAGGTGACAGATACGTCATTCAGTTTGTGGTTGCGTTTACAGTAGAAGGTCTACAATTTAATAAAATGAATTCAATTTCGCTTGAATCGCCTAAAAATAATTCAAATCAATCTTGAAAATGGTCTGTGAAAACCACACTTCGTAAAATCGTGGATATTTTCTGTCGTTATTTATTTATTTATTTATTATCCCTCTCTTGATCTGGGCCCCCAACAGGCTTGCGCCAAATTACAGAGGGACCCTCATAATGCTTTTTAGAGGTGCCTCTGCCACAGATGAAAATTTCACCTCAACCCAAGTTCGAACACCCAACCTCCGGATTTATAGCCCAACGCTCTACCATTGAACCACAATGCCGGTTATAATCGTCAATCAGAGCATGCAATTAAGAATCATCAGAGACATTGGAAGTAATAACAGTATAACGCCATATGTAAAACACAAAGTCTTATTCACTCGGATACGTGCTCCACTCGTTCGCCAACTCGCTTGTGTGCGAGAATTTTAGATGGGAATTAACAATGCAGTGGACCGTATCGACAGTATCCGCGACTTTTCCTTACCCTACCGATCACGGCTGAGTACGGTACTTGATGCGACACCGTTGTCTTTTGGCCTTGAACAAAACTCCTAACTTTGTACCCATATTCGAAAACATAAACATTTTCAATGTTAAAATTTGAGTCAACTGCGCCAGTACGCAACATAGCAACACCAAAACGTACTCGTACCAGTGTTGCCAGATTCGTGAGATGGTGCCACAATTATGCACAAATGTGAGCGAGGACATTTTTCCAAAAGAATCCATCCTTCGGTGTCGCATTTTTATTAGTTGACAGTTTTTCTCGTCTAATTGCTAGGCAACAGATTTTCATTACCTAAACAACCCAAATTTACTCGGTAAAATACAAACCTCTTGTGCAATTATAACTGATAACAAAACCAAGATGCAATTGGACTACGTTGACCGTTGTGCGCATTATTTTCGGCGTAAGTAGGGACGGCTGCCAAATAACGAGCCGACGTTTTCTAGTCTAATTGTAATTGACGCATTATTTCTAAATACTGGAAGGAGTCTATTGATGATAGAGGTGGTATTTCGTTAAATACGACTGTTCACGACCAGATTTTAGGATTGTTAAAACAGAAAAAAAACTGTAAGTCATTTTCATATTTTCTTAGTTTTAATGATAGACCGCCTGCGTACGGGGTACTACGTAAAAACAAGCTTTGAAAGCTGCTCTTTATTTCAAGAATTTTGTTTTAATTTTCATTTAATGTGCTTCGAAATAAATGTTTGTCATTCTCAATCAATTAATTGTGTGTTTATTCGTATCCATTGTGCGACCCGAGTCTGTACGTCAAACTTTTCTCTTCATATCCCAGATTTATTGTAAGTGGAATTCCGGAAGTCGAAGCCACTGAGTCTCCCAACTTATTAACTTCAGTCCATATTGAGATGTTTCTTTGTATGCGTATGAGGAGAAATTACAATAGTATATTGAAAGACAAGTGTTACAATG